GATATAGCTATTGCTATATCGATTACTTTCGTTTAAATTATAGCTTAGCTAAAGATCTTTAATTTCTTTATAATTATATGCACCGACTTTTATTCGTTATACGAATGTATAATAAAACTAAAGACCATTAAAGAGAAGCGCTTAATAATCGATATCATAGCTATTCGAAAGTCATACGAAAAGCGAAAGCTTTCTAAAGTGCGCTAAATCGGAAGCAAATCCAACCTTGCTAACGTTATAACTAAAATCGAGGCCAATTCTTCTTTGCAAAAGCTAGTTTTGACTAATACCTTGAAGGTACAAGTGGACGGATAAGTAGAAAGGCCGCTATAAAGAGTTTAAAAGAATAAAATTGTTTTTCTTTTATTTGATAATTTACTTTCCTTTCTTTTTCGGTCGATATAGTAGTTGGCAAAGCACTGCTTGCTAAAGAAAGAGTTGCCGGTGTCGGTATCTTTATATCGATCTTAGCTAGCTAGTAATAGTAGTTAAAGAAAGCTTACCCGTGAACCATGGTTCATAAGTCACTTAGCATGCTTCGCTTAGTATGTCAGCAGTCAAGGGACCCTTAACTTGACAAGTAAACCTATTAGTTAGCTAGTGCACGTGATTCCTTCTAATCATATAGAAGGAATCAGCTCCTTTGAGCCTTAAGGAGCAGACAGAATTCAGATACCTTATCAACCGAGTGTTTTGCAATTGCAAGTACTTTGACGAACGTTACGACCTTACGAATATATATTCCCAATCGCTTAAAAGCAATCCAACAATACTTTTATTTAAATGTTATAATAGCACCTTACTTACTTAAAGAATTCCACTTAGCATACTTTAAAGCAAAAAGACCGCTAAAAGCGCTTCTACTTTAATTGCAAGCTTATAACGAAAAGAAGAACGACTATAATGACTTCGAAGATAATAAACTAATAGTACAAACTGCGAAAGCGCAGTTTTTTAAAAGAAGAAAGTAATATTACGGTAATAAGAAAGCGCCGGGTTACGTTTTAAATCACGTGGAGAAGTATAAAACGATACGCATATAAATTGCACGTTACTTCGTGACTTTAAGCTCTCGTCTTAACAAGACTTCTTATAAAACCTTTTCTTTAGCATTCTTTCCTTTTCTTTCCTTTTCATCTTTCTTTCTTATTATAAAGCGTACTTTTAAGTAGCAATATAATCATACTGCCTTCGACAGCCGTAACAAAGGGCAGCACGCAAGTAGTAACTGCTTTGCGCAGTAAGGCCGTAGATAGACCGTAAATTGTTTTAGCGAGACTGCGGATATATTAAGCGACTTTCTTAGCTTTAGCCGCTCGTTCTTAAACATATCGGCGGAACTTTAACTTGCGGTTAAACTAAACTTTAAGCTATCGTATCGCAAGTGTGTCTTCGTCTTTCGGACTCGTAATAATGCACGGAATAGTTATAATATCGATTACGAGAAAAGAAGTATACGTACCTTTTTTACGAAAGAAATATATTATTTCAATCTTCTTTAAAGCAAAGGCAATTTTATAAGTATTACTTTACTTAATAATAGAATTAATATCGTTTCGAAGCATAGCGATATTCCGGTCGAAAGTGCGACTAACGCGATACAAGCAAATATCGTTAGCGTACTCGAAGCGCAATATCCGGTCTTAATTAAGTAGCTCGGCCAAGTAGAGCATATAAAGCACCGGTGATAACGGAGATCTTTGCGGAGTGCCGCACTTTACGTCGTAAGTGTCCGTGATTTCTTTTTTTAATCGGACTTTAACTTTATAATTTAAAAGAAAGGATTCTATTAGCTTAAGCAATAAGTACGGCTAGCCTTGCTCCGTTATACGTTTAAAGAAGCGACGAATTAAGACCGCATCGAAAGCTTTTTAAACGTTTATAATAACTATAATAACTTAGTATCTAGCTGCAAGTGCGGACTCGATATCGTATGTTAAGCACGAAGCGAGGTCTAATGCAAAGCGCCGTAAGAAAGCTCTCGCGTGTTATAAGCTGAAAACGTCGTTAGTAAAGGCAGTCTACGCAATTCTTTTCGCAACGATGCGCTCTAGTCCTTTAAAGATGCACGAGAGCAGCAAATACTTTAACGACCTTACGAAGTTACGAATATATTCTTCGATCGTTAAAAGCAAGTTAATAGTGATTAATAAATGTGATTAGTAAATACGATTAATAAATGTATTTTCTATTATCGTATTTATCGTCGTAATTATTATCATAGCTATCGTTATCGCCGTAATCGTAGTCGTCGTTTTGCTGATTTTCGGCATTGCTTTCAAACTCGTCTTGCTAATCTTCGGCATTGCTTTTAAACTCCTTTCGTAACTCTTCGATTTGTTCGGCGAATCCATCTTCTTGTATTTAGCTGTAATCGTATCAAGGTTGATCAGCTGAATGAAAGTGAAGTAAAGAAAATCGAGTAGCAAAAGGTTGAACCAAAGGTCGAGGTAAAGGAAGCTAATTATCATCAGGTTCGTGAATGTACTATATACGTACGTACGTACTTACTTACTTATTTACTTACGTACCTGCTTTTCTTTTTTTAAGTACTTTTTATTATTTATTTATTTTGATTTACTTATATACTTTACATTTACGTTGCGCTGCTTTACTTTGCTCTGCTCTGCTCTGCTCTGCTCTGCTCTGCTCTGCTCTGCTCTGCTCTGCTCTGCTCTGCTCTGCTCTGCTCTGCTCTGCTCTGCTCTGCTCTGCTCTGCTCTGCTCTGCTCTGCTCTGCTCTGCTCTGCTCTGCTCTGACTTGCTTGCTTTT